TTTTTTTTTGTTGAGGCAGGGTCTCTCTACGTAGTGTGGGGCTGGCTTTGAACTCATTTATGTAGCCCAGGCTGGCCTCAAACTTATAGCAATCCTCCTGCCTCAGCCTCCAGAGTACTGGGATTATAGGTGTGCCCCACCATTCCTGGCAGTTCCTTGGATTTCAAAACAGTTCTGAAACAAATTAAATGATATAACCCAACCGGCTGAGAGTCTTTATGCAGAGTCATTCTGCTTCTGAGGCTGGAGTCTTGACTTAACTAAATGAAAACCAGATAGCCAATGTTTAACAGTAAGGATGTGTCTTGGTTACTTTTTTCTTATTGCTGAGACAAGTACTCAATGCCCCAAATTAAGGAAGGAAAGGTTTATTAAGCTCACAGTGTGTGGACATTTTAGTCCACACTTGGCTAGCTCCAAGGCAGAGTGGCACATGGTTCATGGCAGCAGAAAACAGCAAAAGCAGCAAGAGCAAAAAGGGAGAAGTCACTCCTCCTTTATATTGTATGTAGGCTACCCACTCTGCTACACCAGTGCAGGGTGGGTTTAGCACTCACACCCATAATCCCAATGGATGATGAGTGTTGCACTCACACCCATAATCCCATTGGGCCTTGAATCAATGAAAAACTCTACAAGCCCGCCATATGACTGCATGAGGCTTTGGGGGGACATCTAGACACAAACCATAACAGGATGGCAGGGGCTCCGTAAGCATAATCAGAGGGAAAAGAAAAGTGGCCCAGAAGGACACTGGCCTGCTGAGCTCTCTCAAGCTCATAGCCAGCTTCCAGCCCAGGTGCATGGCAACAAGGCTTGCTTGGGATTTCCTTTCTCCCAGGGACATTCCTCCTCTTATGCCCTACCCTGCTGCAGGATGGGCCCCACCTGCTGCCGGAGAGTCAGGCAGGGGGCACAAGGGAGGGAAAGGCCTCTCAACCCCCTCTATTCCTTAGCTTCAGAGAGATTATCTGGCCTTTACAGCTTCCGACCCTGGATGCTTGCAGAAGACTGATCTTCAGGCCTGTTAATCATTTATAAAACAAGGATTCCTGTAGCTCCCTGTGCAGCTAAAGTAGAATGGAAAACAAAACTTCCTCCTGCATAGTAGGAAACAGAGGCCCACCTTTTCATGCTGTGACACAAACCTAAGCAACACTATCTTGCTGTGTTCTGTGCCTCTGCTTGCCCAGCTGAATGCTTTTCAAGTCTTCTAAGTTGCTGCTCATTAAGAAAAAAAAAATTTAGGCTGCAAATGGGTGCAACATGTCAAATGCGTCCTCGCAAGCGCTGGATCTGATGCTGGCAGCTTAGCAATCTCAGCAGCACCCACTGCAACTGTCTCATGATGCTGTTCTTCATCGCCAAGTGGTAAACGCCTAAAGCCAGGGACTGGTGTTAGTCATCTGTGCCCGGTGTCGGGAAGGCCAGGCGCAGGCTTGCAGAGTAAACAAACGACCGGATGGCAACCACAGAAGACTGGAGGGATCCTTCCAGGCACACCTGTGCACTCACTGCGTTCTGTTTTATACCAAGATAAAAGAAACACTATTTTGATGCCGGCAAAGTATTATTTGCCTTCTTTGATTCTTAGCGCCCAAGCCTCAAATACTTGATTTTCTTCTCAGTGCATTACCAAAACCTTCTTCCAATCCTAATTCGGCACTGAAACACCGCCCTATATCTGGAAATGTTTGTTGGTTTTGTTTGTTGAGATGAGTTCTCACTACGCTACCCACTCTAGCCTTGAACTTCTGGGCTTAAGCGAGCCTCCTCTCTCAGCCTCGCAAGTAGCTAGAACTACAGCTGTGCACCACCGTGCCTAGCCTGTAATAGTTTTTACAAGGATGAAGTCCATCATAAAACATCAGCAACTACTACCCTCTAGTGAGCTTTTATTGCATGCTTGGCATCAGGCTCCATACATTTGTATCTTCTAATCCTCACGGCTAATCTCTTGATCCTCAGTAAGGGTCTATTATTCCCATTTTACAGAGGAGAAAACGGAGGGATAGAGAAGTCAAGTGTTTTGGACCGGTGTCACATAGCTACATCAGATTCCACCCTGGCTTCCCTGTGTGATCTGTTCACTCTTCCACCTTTTGGATTCTGGGGAAAGACTCTGGGAGAATGCTGAACAAGGGCTGGGGGCAAAAAGGCAACACTCTGGCAGAAGTCCAGGTTCCAGAAAAAAAGGCTGCAAACAGTAATGGAGAACAGAAACATAATTAAACATCTGCCACCCTGATGTTTTCCACCAGCAACTCCCACTCTGAGAAGATTTCCAGGGCCCTCTATTCTTGTGCAAAGTAGCTGGGATGAACTCCAAGTCAGGGGCACCTTGTCAAACCTTTTCTGCTACAAAGTATCTGGTTCATCATCTTCCTTCCTTTCTGTTCCATTACTCATGCTAATCCCATGTGTTCTTCCCGATTTCTGGGTTTCTCACGGCCTGAGACTCCCCGCCCTGAGCTTGTTATCTGATTGCTGCCCTTGGGTCCTGGATCCATACAGCACTGGTATCATCTGTGACAGCAGATGAGTGAGGTCTGCTGCAGAATACGACAAACATGTTTCTCTGCACGGGGGCCATAGATTGCATTTCCCACAGTGCAGCAAGAAACAAAGGCCCAAACAAGACTCCTTTTTAAGAAGGGTTGGATCTGTGTTAGCTGACGGCAGCTCGGCAGGACAATGCCCGCCTTCTCTTCAATGACCGGAAATAGAGTGTAGGATGAAAAGGGAAACCGCTTCCACTGTCTTCGAAAATGTAACTCCAACCCCAAATATTAGATTAGCCATTGGCAGCCTTCTCCAAATCAATAGGATGGGAACCTGAGCCCTTTGCAAGGGCAGCAATACCTGAACGGGAAGACTGACAATGGAGGTGAATTTGCCAGGAAGACCTTGCTGTCTTTCACTGGAACAATCATCTTCCTTGTCTATTTGGCAAAATATTTGGCTCAGGCCCAGAGAGCTAAGAGAAGTGGGCAACCCATTTTCAGTCTGATGTGCTAGGAGGAGTGGGGGTTTTGTTTGTTTTGAGATATGGGCCTCACTACGTTGCCCAAGCTGGCCTTGAACTCCTGGGCTCACGTGATCTAGCCTCAGCCTCCCTAGTAGCTGTGACTACTGGTATGTAACACTGTCCCTAGCTGTGGAAGTGTTTTAAAAGCTGCCTGGGAGAGCCAGGCATGGTGCTACATGCCTCTAGTTCTAGCTACTAAGGAGCTCAAGGAAGGAGGATCCCTTGAGCCCATAACATAAGCTCAAGACCAGCCTGAGCAACACAGTGAAATTTCATCTAAAAAAATGAACACAGAAAGGAAAAGAGGTGCCTAAGGAAGGTTCATGATCTTCCTAGAAGAATCGGGGCATTTTCAAAATTTAACAGTTGGAAAACTGAAAGTCAGCACCAAGGGACAATCTGCCATTTTGGATTCCCTGGGCTGGGTGTGAGTCACAGACATAGATCCCGTATTCTGACTCTCTGACCTGCTAGGAGACACTGACAGACACATCTTCAGGTCTGTTTGGCTGACATCTGAAAATGCGTTAAGTTGTTCAGAACCCAAGTGCACGGCACTGGGACTGAGGTACAGGACAGCACATGCAGAATCAGTGGGGGAACGTGGATTACAGCCCAGTGTGTTTCTGGCAGCTGGGTGACTCTGCAAGTAACTGGCCCGGCCTCAGTTCATTCACCTCTGGAATGGGGAGAACCTCGGCTTCACATGAGTGTGGAAGAGTCCTTGCTAAGTGCTGGTTCATTTTCTACATGAATGGCGGTAAGAGATCATCATTACATTTAACGCAGTCTCACTTAAAACACTCACAAGCCCATAGGATAGACGTCACAGTTTCCATTTTCACAGATGAAGAAACAGCGTTGGAAAAGGTGCGGCTCAAAGCCACACAGCTAGCAGACTGCACCGCTGGAGTCCAGCCCAGGTCTTCTAAGCCAGGACAAGAGAGCGCAGTGCACACGGACAGAGTGGAAGGAGCAGCAATCGGCTGGCAAGAGCCCTGGGTACGAGCCTTTCTGGAAGGCACCTTCACTTCCACCTTTTAGTTCCTTTTTAGCCCTGAAACGAGGGTGGCACCACCCACCGTTTCACCTGTAAAGCTGTTGCCAAAATCCCTTCAGAGCTAGGTGCAAAAGTCCCCGAGGCAAGGGCAACCTTTCCTCACTTGAAATTGGGAAACTCAGATCAGGAGCGGAGACCGGTGTAGGAAAGGAAGAGACTGCGGGCGGTAACCCTCAGGGACCTCATGAGTAATTCTTCCCCAGAGGAGCAAAAGGAAGCCAGCTGGACCAGAGCTGCTTAGGACATGAAAGGGCAAACAGAAGGTCTGACTTCAAATGTAACCAGCCGCTCCAGAGAGCAGGCTTCTGGGATGCCGAAATGGGAGGCTGCGGGAACGGACAGGCAGATGCCTCTGCTAGACATGTAAGATGCTGAGTTTATCCTAAAATAGCCATACTGGATTAAATAAAAATTAGCAATTCTATTTCATCCCTCTCAATTAGAATCATGTTACATTTACTAACGTATGAAGAGTAAAACTTTGAGAACTATTGTTCTAAAATACCTCATAGTATTGTTGACCCTCCCATGGATATACTGCATAAAATTTCATTTACCCAAACATTACCTAGGCATCTGCCCTGTGCCCGGTTAACTTCCAGGAGTTAGGGATACAGCGAAAAGGCTTTGTAACTGCAAAAGGCACCCACAATGAGAGCATAATTAACAAAAGGCATTTTCCCCCGGGAACTTATTGGAAATGTCATTAGTCAATTAATGATTGTCTCTTTATGACGCTCATTAAAAAGCCGCCAGTAGAAACTTAAAATGCCAAAGAGGGACAGAAGCCCATCTGAAAAAGCTACACAAGGTAGGACTGCAATTATATGGCGTGCTGGAAAAGGAAAAACGGTTCTAAATCACATGTCTTCAAGAGTCAATTCTGGCTCTTCCACTTTCCTACCTCAGCAGGTGGCCGAGGGCGAGGCCTGCGCGGCAGAGCGCAGGAAGCAGGGCTGGGCCGGGTGTGCTCCGGAGCGATGGGGGCGGGATGGGGGAGCTGGTGAGGAAGAGAAGTTTCTCCCCGAAGGTGGGGTCCCCGCGGAGGCAACAAACACCCTAGACTTCCCATGGCCCAAGGGCGAGCCCCTCCGGGCAGCGGGCCCCCTCTCAGGGCAAACACGCCTGGAGCCAGGGCAAACACGCCTGGAGCCAGTGTAACACCTCTATCTGATCTGCGATGGGGTGCGGGGTGAGGCATGTTCCCAAAACCTTTTGTAAAACTCGGGCCCCTTCCGCGGCCACCAAGGCAGGGAGCCCCGCGACTGTGCCAGACCTGATCTTCCCCACCCACAGACGCAGGTAAGCCCTATCACTTACCTGGTTTCGTGCCCCCTGGGTCTGCGCGCCCGCGATGCCCTGTCCCACTGCCTCGGCCGCCTCGCCGGGCACCGACCGCGCGGAGTCGAGAGAGAGGCGCGCGCCAGGTGCGCGGCCACCAAGGTCGCCGACTTCCCGGAAAGGCGGCGCTCAGGTGGGCACAGACAATGCTGAACAAAGCCCGCAGCGCTGCCCCGGGCGGCGCAGGCTCCGCGCTCCGGGTAAGGTGGCGGGCGCAGAGCGGGATCCTCCCCTACGCTACCCGGTCGGCCGCCCGCCTTGCCCAGGCAGCTAGGCGGGCGCGGGGCGCGCGCAGAGCCCGCTCCGGGGGCGACTTCTCCGGCGGAGCGCAGCGAGGAGCGCGCGGCGCCAGGCTGTTCTGCCGGCAGGCGTGGGCTCGGCTCCGGCCAGGGGGCGCTGCGCACCCGCGGGAGGGGCGCCCGGGGGGCGGCAGCCACGTGGGACACCTGTTGGTCCCTCCCAGGGGAGAGAGCGCTGCGGGGCGGAGTGCGCTCAGCTGGAGGCTGTCTGCCGAGTGAGCAAGCTGGGCGCACGGAGCGCAGTCCTCGCCCTAGGCGTTACACTGTAAAGCGCTGACCAAATTAAGCAAATTACTTTGCTGAAAGAAACTGTTAATGAGTCCTCGATTGATCAGTATTGCATGTCTCTATTTGTTTTCATGAGAAACCACTTTGAAGATATCGGTATGTAATACAACAAGCATTGTTAATTTCCTACCACTTTGTAAATCTGTATTGTCTGTACTGTTCTTTTGCTATTTTGTAAAAGACATTTTGTTAATGTTTTCCTCCTTTTATTTTTAAAATTAAAAAAAAAATCCAAAGAAAAAGAAAACCAAATTAAGCAAATTAGCGAAGTACTTCTGTGCGGGTTTCCCAGCCCGCGCCTGAGCCGCTCAGCGGTGAGCAACGTGAGTCGCTGTCTACTCCGCAGGATTTATTGCTGCGGTCCGAATGAAAATGTTGACTTTGGCATTGTTTCTATTTGTCAGGGCAATTGCCTGTCTCATTACTGGAGTTGGGAGATAATACGCAGATCTTTGGCCAGCGTCCTCATTTAAGTCTAGAGGACGGCTGATTTTAGAAATCAAACGCCACAAAACAGCGTAATGCCTGGTGCGATGGCCGGAAAGCTCTCAGTGGATGTTGGACATTATTGCATAATCTGTAACTTTTCAGACTTCATCAAAGTGTCCTTTGTGTAATGTGTGCGCTAATTGCAAAAAAAAGAAAAATAAGCAATTTGGAAAACCACTGGTATCCCATTGCAGCTTGAGAATCCTTTAATATCATAGTGTATGTTCTTCCCATATCACTTTAGCCATATAAGATTTTACATATTTTAGTTCATAACATATATATTGTGCCTTGACCAGATTGTCCACTTTTGAACATATTTTTAGCCACCACATAATGTTCTAAATGTGCTTAACTTACCTGGTACTGAACACTAAATTTTCAATTTTCATATTGCAGCTAGATATCTATGCTTTTGCCCAGGAACTTTCTTGGAATAAACTGCGAGGCCAATTTCTATACAGCGTATACTTAATTCAAGTTTTCTGATGCATTATCAAATTGCCTTTCAGGAAGTTTGCCTGTTTCCTCTTGTCTATGCCTTTCCCAGTTATTCCTGCAAATGTCAGTCTGATAGGCAAATTGGCATTTTTTTATTCTTACATCCTTCTTTTTAAAAGTTAAAAAACTGCCTTTCAGTCTGTAGTTCTGTTGGTTTCCAACCGTCCGGATATTTCACCTTCAGTGAAACTAGCACCCGATAGCCTTAATGCTGCAAAACTGAAAAGATGAAAAAGGAAAAACATTTTTCACTTAATTCAACCCAGTAACATCTGAACACCCAAAAGGAAAAACAAACCAAACCAAACAGGCCACCCCAGGGCAGCATACAATGTGCCAGCCAGCATGCCATCCTGGAGATAAGAAAACTTGTCTTGGGGTCTAAATACCACCAGGGAGTGGTGGTCTCTGCTTCCAGATCAGATGGTTTCAGAGAAATTTAATGTTAAACACATGTGGAATTTTAAATACTTCAGTGGACACCTTAAAAAAGAAAACAAGTGAACAATATTTTAGTAAGATTAACCCATAGCCCAAAACATTATCTAAATATGTAATGAATATAAAATAGAAACATTTTAAAACTGTCTTTGAAATCCCATTGTATATTTATAGCACATTTCAATTTGGACTAGCCACACTGTAAGTGCTCAATATCCACAAGCAATTAGTGGGCCTGTGCAGCTCCAAACAGACAGAAGGGCAGACCCCCAATTCTAGTAAAAGTGGAAAGTCCACCTGTGACAGCCCCCTCCTCCGTCCTCATGCGGGTTGTTCAGCATGCCCTCTGTGGTTTTGCCTAGTAAGGTCTACCCTGGAGAAGCCATATTTCAATCTGGGCACTCCTAACATTTTTAATTTGTCTTTAATTGACCTGACTTTATTCTGTTAAAGTAGTAAAGAGCAAAAAGCACAAGTATTGGTAGAGATGCAGGTGCTGTAAACTCCTTCTCATTAGAGCATAAGCAAAGCACAATCTGCCCCAGCTGCCTTCAGGTCTTACCATTCAGTGTGTGTGCAAGGAGGCAAGAAGGCCCAGGCCCTGGAGCGTGGTGAGTGAGTACCACTGACAGGGGTGGAGGCCTTTTATACAGAGAAGCTGCGCAGCTACTTGTCATCCGTGACAACCTTTCCTTTGTGAAGATTTATGGGAAAGGAGGAAAAGTTACTAGGAAGGGCCATCATTTCAAAGGGCTTATGAGCTTCTTAGCTTCTCAGGACTTTGCCTTACTCATCTTTCAGACCCCCGTTGTAAACACATAAGATGTGGAGGTTACTGTGAGTGGAGACTTCAACACTGAGCAACCCACACCAGGAAGCACCTAGTGTAGTGGCACGACCATGGCTTTGGGGATGAAACCCTCTGGGGTTCCCCCACCAGCTCTCTCACCTCACCTGTTAGCTTTGTAACACAGAAAAGGTGCTTAACTGTGATTGCTGTGCTTCCTCACCTACAGAGGATGGTGATAGGTACAGATTCCTAACCCCGAGGGACCCCAACTCAAACTCTTTGCATCTAGTCCCTTAAATGATAAAAGTGATACTACCTGCATATGGAAACTTGCCTCAGTAATAATAGAGCTTCAAATGGAGACAACGGTATGCATTTACAGGCAAAAGCTTTAATGCAGAGGAAGAGGAAATAGGGAAGGGACTTCAGCTTGAGAAGAAGGGGAGCTGTGACCCTTCCACTTGGAGAGATCAGACGGGCACATCAGCAAAGAGAAGATACCAGCTTTTGTGGGGTTTCTGGGTAGGCTGGGTCCTGCTAATTTTCCACTGGATCATTCATGTGGAATTGTTGGACACCTCTTCATGTTTTAGGGTATTTCTTCCTTGTGCAGGTTATGGACCAGTAGCTGTTCTCCCCCTTGGGGGCATAATGGTGTCCCCCTGCTGTTACAGCACATCCGGTCCTTGCAGTAAGAGTAGGGGGATATGGGAAGGGCTCATTTGTACATTGTTGGCAAGGGAGAATGAGGGAAAATGTATCTTCACTTTTAGTGGGTAGCAGGACATAGATTAAAACCCTGAGAATCCCTCCAGCTCTTGTCCTCATGAAGAGCCTTGGCCTGTTTCAAAAGTGCATGTGAAAGGAACAGACACAATGGAGAACGCCTTACAGATCTGCAAAGCTGTGTATTTCTCTAGACCCACAGAGCAGCCACTGACCAGAGCCTTGTTTTTAAGAAAAGGAAGAACAGGAAACAATGTCTGTTTCTTACGTGGCAAAGCCCCCATCCCAGAGGAAACAAAGGGCCCGATCCCCAGGTGCTCCACTGGCAATAAATCAAGCCAGAGCAAGAGCTGTGGAACAGCAAATGATGGGAGAGAACAAAGTTTTAAGTGGGGATGTGAAAAGCAGAAATGCTGCCATCTCATACCAGAGGTTGAGAATAGGCTCTGTTTGTTCTAACAATGAAAGTTTATGACTATGACCCAACTTCTGTATATGATAGACGAATTATGCACAAAGTTACACTGGATTTGCTTTTGAGTGAAAGTGGTGCTTGTGGCTGAATCAAGTAAACATGTGCTATTTCCGTGAAAGCAAAAGCTTGTGTAACAGTCATTCATTCAATGAAGCTACTCAGTACTCTACAGCTAGCTGCTTAGCTGGGCCTGGTGTCCAGCTAGGTGAGCATGGTGACACCTGCCTGTAATCCTAGCTACTTGGGGAGCTGAGGCAAAAAGACTGGAAATTTCAGGCCAGCCTTGGCAATTTAATGAGACCGTATCTTACACCAAACAGACAAACGTGGGCATGCAGCTCAATGGGAGAACATACCTACCACGCACAAGGGTCTGAGTTCAATCCACAGTACTGAAAACAAACTTCTCTGCTGTTGCTGCTTACCAGGGTCATGAGTTTTGCTTTCAGTTTTCGCATATGTTTGCCTTAGTATTCACTGCATGAATTTTGATAGCAGTCTGTGCACCCCGGATGCAGCAGAGTGGGCCCCAGTCCTGCCTGGCCTGCAATAAACATTTATTGTTTCCTCACAGCCTCTCATCAATTACCACCATGAGCTTTTAAAAATGGTATCTCATAATCATAGAAGTGGTATCTTCTCAGGGTCTCAGGGTGGAAAAGCAAGCACAGAAAATGGCTGAGGCTTGACAGCTAAAACCCTAGACAGAACCAGTTTTAGGAGCTTCCTTAGGGGAGCTGACTGCAATGCCTGAACGGTACCCTAAACAATGTTCAGGTGCAAGAGATAATACCTATGTAGGTATTATGGTTTGTGTCTAGATGTCCCCCAAAAGTCTCATGCAGTCATGGGGGGGGGCGGGTTTTGAAGGTAGATGAACCTGGAGTTTATAAATGATTCCTAATGCAATGCTGGGATTAAGGCTGGGTGCTTGCTGGATCACTCTACCGACTGGATTGGCAACACCCTAATCCCAGCAGTCTGGGTAAGATACAAGGGGCAAACAAAGGCTTGTTTTCCCCTGCTGCTCTTGTTCCTTTTGCTGTCTCCCGTCACCATGAATGGTTGCCCTTGTGCCATGCCAGCCTGCCTTGGAGCCAGCTGATGTGGACTAAAACCTCTGCAAGCTGTAAGTTAAATAAACCCTTCTTCCCTTCATTTTGGGTTGGGTATTTTGTCTCAGCAGTGAGAAAAAAGACAGTAGGTAAGCCTTCTGCAGCTCTAGCCCTAGGTGGTGGTGGTGAGCAATAATCTTAGCACTAACCCAGCCTGATCTCCTAGCAAGCAAAATCATTCTACTCTTTCTTCTGCATGTTTAGAACCACAGGCTGCCTTTCCATTCCTTTTGTCTGAAAAAATGAAAATCATTCCTAAGAATTTTCCTCATGTGTTTGATTAGTACTGCTTGGGTTCAACAATCGAGCTATGGAATCCCCTACACAGCTGAAGAGCCTAGGTGGCCTTTTTCGCTAATCCCAGAAGAATGCCACTTGCCTAATGCATGCAGCTGTGTACATGCCAAGCCCACTGCAAACACTAATAATGCGACTGCTTTTAATTAGCAATAATCACACCTCAGATAAACCTCGTTGGCTACAATACTGCCACTGTTCAAAGCTAAAGCTGATTGCTTTTGGCAGGCAGTCGTTCAGTCCTCTCAGTGAAGTTGGCAGTGTAGGGTACTGGTAGTGAGGATCCTTGTGTGTTTGTTTCTGGAACATTTATCATGTAGCAAGAGAGCCCTGTTTCAGAATATTAATCACCCTTGTTAGTAATTTTGGATCTATTACATTTCTAGCTGTTGCATACAAAACATGGCTTCAAGCCCTGGAGTTTGGTTTAATCCATATGATAGAAATTTCTTCCCTGGTGAACTAGGTATAATTTATTCCAATATTTAAAAGGCCTCTTGCCTGGAATAAGCTTTTCTTATGTAGTCTCAGATCTAATGTACTCATCTGTCAGTATGACCAAACTGAGTATTTTAAGTGAACCTAAAGATGAGAAGCAGCTTGTGAGCAAGGCCATACATGGTCTTACTGAACAATAAACCCAGCGTCCACCATGATGTAAGGTACATGGCTGAAGTTCAATAAATATCTGTTGAATGACACATACAGCTGAAAAATAGGATGCAGAATGGAGACATGGATGAATGAAGTACGTCAAATTAACCCAGAAGACTCTCAACCACACCTCTAGCTGTCGGGCTGGTGCAGTAGGTGATACTTATCTCTTCTGGGGAATAATATAAACAGCTGAGTCACCAAATACTATAAAAGTCCATTAAATTTATAGTCAAATTTCCAGGGCCAAAGGATACAACATTGGAATTTGAAGAAATGAACTGCATTTCATGATTTTTATGCTACTTGACTAGTTTCCCTACTTTTCCTTAATAAAGAGGCCAGTTCTGTGATTCTGTGGTTGTCATTTGCATTTCCATTCCTATAGGAACGGAGCAGACAGCATGAACAAACTAGTGCTGTAGGGTTCAAGAGCAGGAAATCAGCAAATGTCAGAAGTACACAAAGGAAAACAGTTGACAAGTGAAAGGACTTTATTGGGCAAAGCAGCATAATCTTTTATCTAAATAGAAACCACATCAGTTTTTGAACAACGTTTTACACACAGAAAAATTCCGTTGAACAGAACAGGTGATAGACACTGCCAGTAAAAGCAAAACAACAACAAAAAACCCACACCAGTCTTTTAAGATCTGCTCTGAGGTGGTGACATCTTACATTGTCACAGTCTGATTTAAATCATGGAAAATTTTCCAAATAGAAACTTTGAGGCTGGCAGGAAACCCTCCAGTTGGCCTGAAATTCTGCACATGTGAGTTCAGAATATAAGATTATGTGCTTCAAGACAAATACATACTACTGTATTTATGCTTTAGAACCCAGGGTGCTCTACCACTGAGCACACCCCTATGCCCCACCCTCACTTCCAGGCCTCTTAATCTTTTTATTTTGAGATAGGCTCTCACTAAATTGTCCAGGCTGGGCTCAAACATGTGACCCTCCTGTCCCATCTTCCCCAGGAACTGGGATTACAGGTGTGTACCATCACGCCCAAGGAGAAAACTCAATTCTTTCTACAGTAAAAATCTAACTGGCTACAAAATTGGAAGAGAATGGATGGCAAGAGCAGAAAGATAAAGTCCTTTCCCAGGGGAAGTGGTCCACAGATCAAGGACAGACTCCAGGCCCAAAAGCCAAAAAAAAAAAAAACAACAACCAATCCAATCAAGGACGGAGAAAGCAGCTGATGACCTCAGTGCAGACAAGATGAGAGCAGTGGTGAAGGAGGGAAAAAGCAAGGAGCCTTGATGACATGGACGATGATGACAAGGAATGCAGGGAATACCTTATTAAAAAATAAACATACAGATAATCATAAAACTTCTATATCCACCCTACTTATCCAGTATTAACACGGAACCATATTTTCTTCAATACTTTCAGTAATAAAACATCAGAGGACTAGCGTGTAACTCAGTGGTAGAGCGCTTGCCTGGCATGTGTGAGGCCATAGTTTTATTTCCTCCATGGCAAAAACAACAAATTACATATACAGTGGAAAGCCTCTATTGCTTTCAGATATTCCCATGAATTTAGTATAAATCTTTTATACCAAATTTATTTATCTGGTGGGAAGAATTTATGGAGGAAAAAGCCTCAAACTAAAAGAAGCAAGCAAAAACGGAGGCATAAGAAGGTCATCAAAAAAAAAAGTAGATGAAGATTCCAAAAAATTAAACTAAGCAAGACGAAGTACATTTTCTCTTCAGTCTAGCCTTTCTTGTTTCCATCCTCATTAGTGTTTACTTCCAAAAGGCACTGTTTCTGAAAGAGAAAAATCAACCATCATTACGCCATATATAAAAACTCAGCCCCTATGGATCTTAATTTCTAGTTGAAATAGGAGCACACAAAATAATCACTTTTAACTGAAATTACACTCACTTCAGACCTGTAAGTAATTAAAGCCGTTTATGCTGCCCTTCACAAATATAAAATGTAGTTGTCGGTACTCTCCTTCAGATAAAACTATTCGATATTAACGTGGGTGTTAAAGTACCTATCATTTTTGTGCAATAAATTACAAAGGGTTTATATTCTTATCACCAGAGCACTCCTATTTTGAAGATTTACAATTAAATTATCAAGTAAACAAGTTTCTCCAAAAAAGAAGCCATACTAGATTTCAAAACGTATTTTATCTGTAAGAATGATTTAATGATCTGAGTAAACATTAAATGGTTCTTTCACCACAATGAAGAAAATATGCAGCCAGACACAGCACACACTTATAATCCCAGTGCTCGGAGGCTGAGGTAGTAGGACTGGAGTTTGAGTCCAGCCTGGGCTACTTAGTGACTTAGTGAAACCTTGTCTCAAAATACAAATATAAAATAAATTAAAATGAATAAAATAAAAATAAGTTTTGAAAATTTAAAATAGAAATTTTAAATAAAACTAACATTTAAAAAATATATATAAAAATAAAATGGATAAGGGATGTAGCTCAGTGCCAAGGGCCTGGGTTCAATGCTCATTACGACACCCAAAAATGTTTATGAAACCATGTGTGTGACTTTTCCCAATATAACCCCTCTAATTTCATGCCTTGTACAACTGACCTAATCTAAAAAGATGCTGCAGCACAGCATATAGGCAGCAGCCATGGGCAGTAAAAGAGCTCGGCTTTGAGTCTTAAGACCTAATTTGCAGTCTGTGAATGTGATTTGGGCCGCCGTGAACCTCAGCTGCCTCATCTATAAGGTCTACCTTCTTTCTGTTGTTTGTTTTTTCTTCTGGTACCAGGAATCAAACTCACGACCTTGCGCTTGCCAGGCAGGCACTTTGCCGCTGAGCTAAATCCCCAGCCCCAGGTCTACCTTCTTTTTAAGGGTGTTGTCAAGGCTGTGTATTTGACTTGGGTAACTGTTGGCTTAGAGTCACCAAATATGTTCTTTAAACACTGGAGTCATCACACCCTAAAGAAAGGGTCATGTTTCACTTTGAAATGAAATCTGCGACCAGTGTACCATTTTCTATTCCGTGCCCTTCAGGTTCTTTTCACAAAAAATGCAAAATTTGTTTGTAGTGATACAAATAAGTGAAGTGTGATTTAAATCTGAGGCTAAGCTTCACCTCTCAGTTATCCCTACGAACCTATATACCAGTAACACTTAGCATTCTCAAAATCAAACGATAAGGAAATGCACTGGCAGTCTCAGCCACCCTGGGCTCAAGTTCATTAGAGGTATCACAAGCAAGCTGTCAGGTCAAAGCCTGGAAGGCAGCATTAACTTAACAGCCAAACTCAGATCATGACATCACAAAATAAAGCACAGCCTTGTAGCAGGTGTCGCTCCATCAGCACTATCCCGACAGCAAGCCTGCAGACGTTCACTGGCCAGTGGCAAAAATACCAAAACTGACTCACTTAACTTTTTAGAAGCTTTTTCATTTCAATAAATTTGTTTTGATTGGTTGGATTGTTCAAGAGGAAGAACAGAATCTGTTCATGTTTTTTAACCTATGGGTGAAAAGAAACAGTATACTTTAGTTTCTGAAAGTGTTGGGAGTATAATTCTACTTAAGGGAAACTTTACCCACTTGTTCCTGTAACTCTGTGCAGCAGCAACTCATCCTGTGCGTCTTTTCTAAAAGCAAACGGAAAAAAAGTCAAGTAAGAAACATGTCCAACACATGTCTCTTCTGTCCAAAGAAATCCGGACCTGGACAAGTATGCGTGTATCTCCCCTCTTGCCTGGGTTACAACTACAAAGAACATGACCCGCTCATTTGGACTTTAAAACTGTCTACTACAGTGATCTGAATTTTTACAAATTAACACTCACATTCCAAGGTTAGGTATTCTATTATGTATGGGACCTTCTCTTTGGTGGGAACAGGTCTGCCAAATACCTAGCTGATGAAATACCAGAAAAATCTAATCTCAGAAATACAAGTTCTCCTTTTATCAGGATCAAAAGTGAACTGGGCATAAGGTGCAGGCAGAACGCCTGACATTTCCGAAGCTCACCACAGTGCTGCTGTGTCTGAGCTAGGGACCTTGAATGGAAGACTCTCTGCATCAAGAATGGCTCCTCTCAAGTGGCAACAAGCATTAGAGCCCTGCCATGGGTGTAGAGGAGGGGAAAGAGGGGACTATGGCCACACGGAGAAGACAGATCCAGCTCATTAGAAAGATTATCTTTGCCATTTGTTACATCTACATCTGCCATTAATCATTTGGAAAAATACCTTTATGGAAAGCATTTTGCGTTTTAGATGTGATGTTCTTTGCCAGATCATACTTCACCAGCTTATCAGCTACACTGACAGTACCATGCTCAGAACATTTCTCAACTGACACTGTGTGAACATTCTTAGTAATTTCTTTCACAGAAAGCATTACATTTTGATTCAACATGAAATTTTTTAGTAGCTCTATTATTAACTGAGAACAGCTTCCATTCAATTCCACCAGTCCTGGAAAAAATAATTGAAGACTTTGGTTAGTTTTCAAATCTCTTTAAAGCAGACATACTTAGATAAATTACCTCAGGTTAATAAGCAGAAAGCTCACTGACTAGCTGGGTTTTGATATGCTTTTTGACGTACTACCACTGTTACACTGTAAAATCAAATTTATCCACTGAATATTTACCGATGACCTATAAGGTGTCAAGCACTAATCTAGATTTAGAGGGCACAAAATAGATAAAGTATCTGCCCCTCAGTGATCCAGTGGAGACGCAATCAACAATACTATTCTGACTCTGAGTCAAAATCAAAGCAGACTATGAGAATTAGTGTGATACCAGCTTGGAGGGTCACTGAGTAAAGGGATCAGGCATAATCATAAAAAGCTATTGCTAGCATTTTCATTTACCCAAATTCCAACTGGAGTTTGAATGTAGTAAACATAATAAGGAAGCCAAAAATCGTGTCATGTAAATGCTGCTAGCCCTTACAGAAACCTATGACCAAAGGAGCAAGACCCTGGACGAAAGGTCAGACCACCTAGGTTATTCTCCTGCTCCTGCCACTTACTACTGCTCCTTTGCATTAGAACGAAGAAAACAATCTCTGAACCCTGGTGCCCTGAAAATAAGCTGTAAAACAAAGACAGACTTTACTCTTTACTGATTATAGTTTTTGTGAGTTAAAGAACAAAGGATATGAAATTTCCTTGAAAACGCTGACATTTAGATATCTGAGCAGGTTCTAGAAATACACATTTGATTCAGACTCAGAGCTATGAAACAAAAGGAAGAAAATCCCATAAGACATCCAAACTGGAAAGTGACTCCACTGTCTACCTTCAAATGAACATCTGATAATTTGGAAAGGGACTTCCAGGTGGCTTGCAGTAATTGGCTGTACTCTGGAAAGAGGCAGCGTTTCAATGTTTCCATAGTCTGCATAGAGCACTTTCACATCGGAACCTGATGTCTCCAGAACAACCGCACGGTACCAGAAATCATCACCTGAAAACAGAATGCAATCTTAGCTAAGAAGTTACTGTTAATGACCCCGTACCTTAAGACAGTTACTCAAAAGTTACATTTATGTCACTTAAATTCATGCCAAAAGTTCTGGTTAAGAGTTTAGATTTACCTGTTTCTTTAAAATCCTACTAAAAAGACAGTGACAGCCACCAAGAGAAAAGCCCACGTATTACTGGAAAGCCGGAAAACATATGCATGAATGGAAATGACTTAGCATAACCCAAGCTAGCAGTGGGGAGGACAAGCAGCATCACAGATTCTATTTCAAACCCCAACCCCCAAGGCTCAGTAATTGGTGCTCCTCATTTAAACCCAGGAGTGAGGATGGAACTGGAAGTAAGAATTGGGCTAATGAAGCAGTTACTTTCCAAGACATCAGAAGCTTCCCAAGGTATTAGAATAGACTTTAGTTCATAAATATATTTGCATATAATACCTATTTTTAAAGTTGCTAAAGAAAATGGTGAGCCTTATGTTCAGCATGTTTCAGTACAGTTTAACAGGCCTTCCCTCTCTCCAGGCAGCTGTTCCTTGTCCAGCAAGACTGGACTAGGGAACGTGAGGCCAAGCAGAGGTGAAAGCTTGGCCAAGAACACCATCAGGCAAGCTGTGCACTGCAGGCAGGAGACGACCATCCCAGGTGAAAGCGCTTCAGGAGGCCCACACCACCAGCGCCCAGAGACAACAGCGCCAGAGCACCCTGCTCAGAAGGGCACCAGTGGAAAGCCCTGTCACACGTAAAGATACTTCCAAGCCACTTCTTAGTGCCCCACCTCATCCACATGAGCAGCAAAGGATTACCAGATAGTTGAGAAAAGCCTGTCATGTGCCAGAGGAGACTAAAACAAATAGGACCTGGGGAAACAGAGATAAAGGAAGAAAAAGACCATGAAACTTTTTAAAATCATACTGAATACTCTTGGAGAATATTACATTCTTGAAACAAGAGCAAGATAGTATTAGAACACGAACACATATATACCCCTGGAAAAAGAAGAAAAAACCTGCTGTAAAAATGCAGTATTGGAAATGAAAATTTCAGAGGAAAGTTGGAAGGTAAAACTGAGGAATTTTCCTGACAAGGAGTACTTTTAAAAAGTGAAATTTAGTAGGATGGTGAAAGGTCGACATTAAAAGACTTGGAGTTCTTAAAACAGAAAACAAAAGAAGTAAAATTCTGGAAAATGACAGACTTAAAGATCCTCTCACTTGGTGTCAGCACAATGGTAAAAAGAAAGCCACCACACTAACACACACCATAAACTTCAGGACGTGCAATGAAGAGGATACTGAAGGTTTCAGAAAGGACAAAACATATGTTCAAAGCTTGGAGAATCGGGAATGATGTCCATCTTCTGACCAGAAACACCGACAGCTAAAACACAACAAAAACAATGCCTTCAAAACTGCAAGGGGAAAATGACTTCCAACATAGAATTCTATATTCAGGCAAACTATCAGTAACGATTAGGGTAGAATAAAGGCTTTTTTAAACACAGAGATAACGGGACATTTATCTTAACATGCACCTTGTCTCAATTTCCAGAGGACAGATCACATACCGGAGTAAAGAAAATAGGAAAATAGAAGATGAGATGAGGGAAGGACCAATCTGGCTAACTAGGCGGAGAAAGCATAGTGGTGAAGGATGGGAGTCCCATGTCTAGAGGACAAATAGTCTGGACAAGAGCTGAGCAGAAGGCTAAAGATGCCTCCAATGTGATTAAGTACACGAAAGTTCTTCGAGGGCATTTACGCTACAACAGAGAACTGCAGATAATTAGTGAAATAATACAGAACACTAACAGCAAAAGTGTCAAAGGAAAAATTATTAACAGTATTCTACACCTGGCTCAACTCTGAGTGGTGTTTATGCAGTCCTCCTAAAGCGCTAAATAGTACACACCTAACTGAAAATCACTACTCCTACTGGGAAGAAAATGAGAGGAAGTACAGGTCCAGTTGTCACAGATAAGAAAAATAAAACTAGGGAGTGACATCAGCAAGATGTAGGAGGTCCCCAGCTTGTAGGGTTCGCCCACCCCCACCAAAGGAACAATTTGGCAGCTGTTCATGGACAAAAGTACCTGTATGGGAACATTGGGATCTGGGACAGTGGTTTCAAAACCTGAGGATCCCAAGACTGTGGAGGCTCTTCTTTGGGAAGGCAGACCCGAACCTCAGTGTCAGACTCCCTTAATTCAGTGCTGCCCCCTGCCCCACCATGAACTCCAGTCTTGCTTGGCTACCGTGTCTTGCCACCAGTTCCATCTGCCCAGGGGTTGGCAGGAGCTATGCTCAAACATGCCCTGGTAAGAGGCTTGCCAACGGTAAACAACTGTTAACATTTAGCCTGCAACCTGTTTACATAGCCTCAGTTTACCTCAGTCTCAGAAACAAATCAGAATATTCATTGTAAGCATTATTTACATTAGCAAAGGAAATGTGTTAACATAAAATATTAAACAGAAGAAGGGTTAAAGTATGGCCTAACCACTGAGTCTGATCACCGAGGCAGCTTCTGTCCCTTCTTTCCTCCCTCCCTCTTCCTTCCTTAGGTGTTGGGCATTGAACCCAGGGGCTTTGCACTGAGCTACATCCTTAGCCCTTTTTATTTTTTTTTTTTTGGTTTTGGTTTTTTTCCGGTTCTGGGAATTGAACTCATGACCTTGCGCTTGCCAGGCAGGTGCTGTGCTGCTGAGCTAAATCCCCAGCGCCTTTAAATTTTTTATTTATGTTGAGACAGGTTCTTGCTAAGTCACTAAACTGCCCAAGACTTGGATATCCCTCTCAGTGCTTTCCAGAGTGTGGGGACTGCAGGCGTGTGCCATCACACCTGGCTAATGTTTCAGTCCTTGCAGGGTATTTTTTTTTTTTTCGTTTGGGTTTGTTTTTGTTATTTGCAGTGGTGGGGAATGAACCGAGGACCTCAACCATGCTAGATAAATACTCTAGCACAGAGCTGCACTTTCAGCCTGCTAAATTTCATATTCTTCTTTCAAGTCACACTCTATAAATATGGTAGAACTACAAATCACTTAATGCTACTGATCCACCATAATACTATATGGTTATCTGGAGCTGCAAGTACTGACAGATTTGTAGAAATCTACGGATATTCCTGTCTAAAGCAATGCAAATAGAAAAGCTCAATGGCCCTAAAATATGAATTAAACCCACAACTTTGCCTTTTTTCTCTACCTCATCAAATGAAATATGCATCTAAAACAAAAATCTACATAAGGTCATGGAGAAGAAAACGGCTGAAGTATTCTCCCCTGAGTGTTTCTCCCAAGAGCAACTTACTTGTGTATTTGGCGCAGCACGCATCCCCAATGCTCGGTCTGTAAGACAGCTGGCTTTTCTGAGCATCACAATACTCTAACAATTCAGCTGTCAGAATAGACAATTTTTCTTGGTTTTCTAAAATAGACAGATGCAATCTTTTATGAAAAAATTCCAAAGCTACTATGAACAGTACACAAAATACTGTCAAGTCTAACCATTCAAAACCCTTTGTATATTAAAATATACACTGTATTTTAAAAGTAAGTACATCCACTATTTGGCTGCTTTTTTGCAGAAAGGACGTAAAACTCGGAGGGGGTATGAAGGAATCTCCTGGTGGGCCAATTTCTTAGCCAACTGGTTATGCTAGTGTGCTCATTCTATGAAAACTTATTAAGCTGTATTTTTGGGATTAGTTAGCATACTTTTCAGTGAGTTGTACCTAATCAAGTTATCTTTATATTCCTGCCTCTTCAATAGACCTTAAGTTATCATACTGAATAACCCTGAATACCACAACCTTTTACCAGATTAAATATGATTTTTCGGTAATACTGGAGATAAATTTAAGAACTTATTGGTTATTGCCACAATTCTAGGTTTAACAATTTCATTCAGTTTCCTTTTTTTTTCAGCTTTAAAGAATCTGCAAATTATTTTGAATAGGCATCACTAATTTGTGCCTAATTCATCTTAATATACAAAAAGGATAATCTCATGTATACTTAAGAGATTTCCTTGATTGTTCACTTCCAGGAAACAAAAAAAGGTAAATTAAAAATCACCTTTATGTACTATTTTCTCCAATGTAAAACACTTGTAAATTTTTAAGAGGTGGTAAAACTATGATTATGAACTGATTACCAGGTCTTTCAAAACATCAGAAATAATTCAAAGTAGTTCAAAGTCTCTTAAATGGTTGAGGTTGGCAGAGTAAATACAATTCAATATAGGTAATACATGTACTGAATTAGGAATTACAGGGTAATTAAGGACACTGGTTTGTTATAAAAAGCTGTAGATTATTCACACTAGGCTACTGAACAGATCCTGAGTGCAGGACATTCCCTTCCTGTTCTCACTTGGATTTTTACAACTCAATTTGCCTGAAGCGTTCTGATCCTTAAGCATTATGTCCTTCAAAGTCATCGCCCTCGCCTTTCTTTCTCCTCCTAAGAAGATCACTGTAAGCACTTTCAGTACCCAGTTTAAAAGAGGACCATAAGGTGTTTTGATGTTTGCTCCTTACCTGGCATGTCATTTGGGATAGCATAAAACAAGTTAGGGCTTATGATTTCTAATATGCTTGCTTGCACAGTTTTATTAACTGGCAGTTCTATCGTCTTCCACTGCTCTGCTGAAGAGAAAGCTGAAGACATATGAAACACAGTTCTTGCATTAAAGAGGTAAAATCTATTCTTCTTTCCAAGTAATATACTTATGTACAATTTGTTCCTCAAATATCAACATTTCCAAACAGCCAAAATGAAAGCTTTGTATTTCACAGAATAATCTATTCAATTTGAGGGATCACGTGGGTGTTACGAAAATGTTCAGTCTGTGAGACTCCTTAAACTATTACACTCCTAAAGTACATTTCTGCGGTATATTTTGTGTAATTCTTCAAAATTACTGAAAGTTTAAGGGCTATATATCTGTACAATGCACATTTATTTGCTAATTAAAATAAAAATTAGTACAATGTCGGTTCAATAAAAAAAATCTGTTTTAATAAATATTAAGTTAACTTTAATATACTATTATTAATCTATGCCTATAAGGAAAATACCTACAGGAAAATGGTTTCATTTAGTATAGAAAAATTCTAATACACTATAAAAGCAAAGGCTAACACACATTTAACAAATGGTTTCAAAGTGTTACCTTGAAGCTCCTGGGTGTCAATTTCCTGATTGTGTTTATTAACAGGTCTGTTATTTGGCAAATCCTTAGACGGGGAGCCAGCTTTTAAAACCAGATGCTCGCTAATCAGAACATCACTAATTATTCTGGGATATGAAGTGGAAAGGTCAGTGAGCTCAACGCCCACTCCCTTTTCAGTGATTTCAACCACCCTGGCTTGGAGTTTAACTCCCGTAATGCACATCTGAAATCTTGCGATGGCTTCTTTAGTCCAGTATTTGTTTCTAGGCTGTATATCTGGAAAATAAAAACAGCATCAAAAATAGCCCTTGAGGGGCTGGGGATTTAGCTCAGCGGCAAAGCGCCTGCCTGGCAAGCGCAAGGTCGTGAGTTCGGTTCCCGGTACCAGAGAAAAACAAAAAAACAAACAAAAAAAATAGCCCTTGGCACAAGCTGACTTTTTGCTTCTACAGTATCCAGGACTGGGTCTTTGCCCCATTTGCCATTCAGTTCAGCAATTCTGAATGATTTTTAATAATCCTCTGCAATATATCTGCATCCTCCATGGCTGAATTACAGATAACGTGCTCTCTAATTCGCTAGTGTTTTAGAAGGCTCCAGGTCCTTCTTTACTTTCCCCAGTAATACAGCTACCTGGCACTTTTCCAATAGGCCAAAATGAGTGTTATTTCTGTCAGAATCCACCATCATGTTCTGTTAGGCAATGATGAGTTGCCAATTCGAAGATATACTTTCACTGGTCTGGAGAGTTTTCTGAAGATAATTTCAAAATCTCATTTGAAAATACTTATTATTTTTCTTGGGTAATTCTGATTTATATTCTTTTTCTTTTGAGATTGTGTTCCCCAAGCTGGTCTCAAATGCCTGAGCTCAAGTGATACTTCCACCTCAGCTTCTGAGTACCCGAGAGTACAGATTTTTCACTCTTAAATAGTGGCTCTCAACCTTGTTCAAGTATCTGACTTATCTAGAAGGCTTGTTAAAACACAGATTTCCAGGCCCCACCTCAAAATTTCTAATTGAGTAGGTCCAGGGACCATATTTTAAGAAGCTTAAAACTTGGTAATTAAGCCAGGTGTGGTGGTACACACCTGTAATCCCAGCACACCAGGGGCTAAGGCAGGGGGATTGTTGCGAGTTCAAGGCCAGCCTGGGCTACATAGTGAGACTCTCTCTCAAAAAAAATAAAAACTTGCTAATTAAGAAAAATAGTCTGAAACATGTACCTGTAAAATAAGTAGAAAAACATGGGTAACAGAAAAAAATGAACACTTACGCCTCCAAACATGACCATGATCAACATTTGGAATCCAACCTTCTACAGTTTTAGTTTTTGAGACAGGGTCTTGTTATGTTGTTACGTTTGAATTCTGCTGTAGCTGAACTTTATACAATTCTCAGATTGCTTTGGGATAAATTACTAGAAGTAAAATTGCTAATTTAGAAGGCATGACCACTGAGGCTCTTAAAGAATTCTGCAAAATGCTTTCAAGAAGGTCGCATCCATATTTTATTCCTATTACCAGAGAAAAGCAGCTGCTTCCCTTCTCTAACATGAATACTGGATATTATTCATATAAAATGTTAAAATTATAGATATGAACATTTAAATAAATATATGTGCTAAATAGTAAAAAAAAAAAAAAAAAAAGCTGAGAAAACTTTTTACTCTGTACCATACCTACTAACCAGCACTGTATCCCTTGAAATGGAAATTTTAAAAATTGTGATGATATCATTTGGAGTTCATCTGTAGTAACTTCTTCAACATTTCCATAATCGACAAAATGTACTTTAACATTTCCATTTGGTAAGATTTCCTTGACCAAAGCACGATACCAGTTACCATCACCTAGGTTTAACACAAAGTTTGTTAGATGAAACATTTCCCTTATATTAACATTTAAAATTTCTATATTGGGGTAAAAACCACCTTTTCTGTAGATAATAAATTTGCTTTCTTCCCTAACTTCATTCCTTTAGATTTTCAATAAAAAATTCCTAAGATTGAGATTTTTCAAAATCTCATTTTTAGAATATCTTTAAAATTTTTATGATACCACATTTTAATATCTGATGTAAATTACAGTGATATCTTGGTTCACGAACTTAATTTGTTCCACAATTTTGGAAAAGATGGTAACATTTGTGTTTGTGTGGGAAAGATGCTGTGGTAGCGTTTGTCACCTGATGCAGAATTTGCAAACAAAAACAAATTTTCACCAAATGCTTCTGTTTGTGAATCAAATGGTTTGCAAACTAAAGCTTTTGTGAATTGAGATATCACAGTAATTTCAGGGCCAAGGATGCAGCTCAGTGGTACAGTGCTCGCCTTGTATGTGAAAGAACTCCAGGTTTGATCCTCATATCTAAAATGAAACAAAACAAAAAATCTTGCACTACACTTACCCATTAATGGCTTAGGTTGATTTAATTGTTACTTGGTAAAATAGCATGAAAAATAAATTGTAGGAAAAACTCATGCAATGAAACTCACAAATGGAACAAATACTGCTCAAAATTAACATGGATAAGGTGATCAGAAGAAACAAAGACCCTGAAGTGAACAGCTCTTCTATTACCTAATTTGTTGTTAGAAATTCTGCAAAGGAAATCATTGAAATAATGTTTAACAAAATTCAGACAAGAATATACTATTTGGAGGTTCTTTGTTAAAAAAGAAAATGAATGCCATCTTGTTCATTTACTCTTGGTTATGAAAACTATGTGCTTTAATATTGGGCAGAAATAAGAGTTGAATGTCAAGAAACAAAAAGGTTTTAATGTCACAATGACATCAACTGCAACTTACCTGCAAAAAAAGCACAACAAGGTTGCCCTATTTCTGCCTTAAAACCATTATGTAACTTCTGCTGGCAATATTCTGCTAAAGATTTATTCAAATCATTGAGCTTCTCCAAGGCTGAAAATACAATATATATACAGGATTTAATATTAAGAATAAATACTAAACAGATTTTCCTTAGAGTCAGAAAACCTTTTGATTCTAAAATTCTCACATACAAACAAAAACACCTATGAAATACACCAAATGCTTTTCCTGACCTAAAAATTGTCAGGCAAATAAGCATTTAGTTAATACTCTCAAATAAAACCACAACCAATGATATAGTGGGCACGGACACATGGTTACGGCATTATCATCAGCATACCAGAATACAAGCTTTGTGGGTAGACAAGAAACACTATACAAACACACACAAAGTTAAATAAAAGCTATCCTGGAAGATAAACACAATTACTAAAATGGACGGCATAGCTGAATGATGCTAGGGAGATTAAGAAAAGCTTGTGAGCTCTGCCTGCTGGAGGTTTCACAGAGGAATCTGAAGTGCAACACATGTGATAGAAAGAAGAGGGTATTCCAAATGGAAGAAGTGACTCTGAAACACGTTTACACAATTACAGAATTAGGCAGCCAAAAATTACTTAGTGGGGAACAGGTGGGCAAAGCATGGATGTGAAAAAGTGAGCCACTGCAGAGGAGCAGTGGGAGGGGAGGGGGTGCTCAGAAAGACATAGTCCATGCAGGGGCTGGGGATTTAGCTCAGCGGCAAAAGCGCCTGCCTGGCAAGCGCAAGGTCGTGAGTTCGGTTCCCGGTACCGGAGAAAAACCAAAAACCAAAA